GCCATCCAGTGCTTTCAGGTTTTCCATAATGGTCTAACCTTAATCGACTTATGAATTCAATTGTTAAAATATCAATATATTAGAGAAAAATTATCATGAAAACATAGGATCATTATATTCATGGAATGCTTCATGAAAGCAAGTAAGAATTTTCATTTTAAAAAAATATATTACTGTTTCTCATATATTTTGATCAGTGTTTTCAATCTTAACTTATTCTGCTAACAATTAAGATCTTTGAACTTAGTAATATAGAACTTAAGCATCATATCTAGTTGTTATCTAATTCATAATTCACTGTCGATGAACATAATATTCTGTGGAAATGATTCATAAAACTAACTTTCATTATTGTCAATATACTTATCTACATCACAATAATTAACTTCATTCATGAAATCATCCAAATTTATCGACGATTTTCTTTCTTGATCATTCACTATTAAATAAAATAATGAAATAAATCTTGATTCAATTGATTATTTGAACAAGAAAATAATTGAATTGTACAATGTTCAACTGATATTTAAAAATAAATCATTGACAAGGTATGTATTCATTTGAATTAACTTTATATATATATATATAGTTCAAGGTCAAACGAAACTGACAAATAAAAATCGATAAAACTATATTTAATTGTTTATACAGATTCAAATATGAACTAGTGGAAGTTATTCCAATTTGGCTATAAACTTTCAACTATATTATTTATACATTATAAATAGTTGGATAAAATAGATTTCAATTATTGATGGTTGAAAAATCTGCAAAAGTATTGTTGTAAACAAAAATTCACTAAACCACTATTACAATAATTTGAAAATATTTTGACTAACTTGATATTGTTAAGTTGAGAATACAGTGATTGCCTGAAAAGATATTTATAACCGTAAATGGGATAAATTCGTCAGTTTGTTGATGTACTCATAGTAAAGTACATGATACTCATTGGATAGATTGGAGGTTTTCGACCCCTCAACCCTTCCATCTATTTTAACACATATAACCAAGTTGCATCACTAGTCGTTAAACGGGTAACATTTGACTTGAAACCAAGTACACAAACGTTCACTTAACTAATAAGTAACTTGACTCAAAATACTTCCAACTTATCTACAGATAAATAAACATGCAATAAAATTTCCCAGATCGAGTTTATTAGATTTATATACTTGGCTAAATATTGAAAAGTTATATTAAATTCATCAGCTTCTGAATGTCATATGACAAATAAATACAACTAGATAACTGTTCCATTTGTATAATATGAACTTACTGAATGAAAAATTAATGTGACTTAAACTACTTCACTTCATTATAACACATTTTAATAGGGTATTGAAGTTTCAATACTAAGCACCAAAATAACTAAGGTTTTATACTTATATTTTTCCACTCGTAAAGGTTATTTGTATAAGCCACTGAAAAAAAATTCTAAAAGCCAATGAAATAATTATCCAATGTTTCTTGATTTTCACTAATTCTCTAGTTAATATCAGTAATTACCATGAAAGTTGAAAAAGCTATCAAGTAAATATATAAAGCAACTTATTAAACAATAATCAAATGAAATGACAAAGAATGAAAACTTTTCCTTCAAGACTGATAAACATTCACCTCCAAATTAGGACAGTACTGTTTTTATGTATAGTAACTTTTTTAAATTCCAAACGATATGGTAACTATTATCCTCTTTATAAGATTATTTAATGTGTTTTGTTATCGAAATAATTCACAAATATTCTACTTCTTAATCGATAAATCGAGCAAGTTATTCATTATATGAAGACAGAAAACAAAATTTTTTCATCACTTCAAAGCATAACCTTAAATTCATTCGTCTCATTGAATTATATCATTACATGGCCAAATTTTATTCGGTAAATTAGTTGCTATACAAAAAAAACAAAAGTAGTTTTCCCATTTAATATGATCAGAGCAAATAGCATCCATTTTGTACTAATATATTGTGTATGAGAATATGACCGAGAACAACCAAATGTATGTAAATACAAAATTACAGAATGTCTTAGTAACATCTGAAAACCATAGAGTAAATATTTCATTTGTAAAATGTCAATAAATTGTCTCAGACTTCATTGTTTCTTCGTTTCCATACCAATCATTCTTTGTTCTCGTTCTCTTCACATCGATCTTCTTACTTTCTACTGCTAAGAATTTCACTTTCAATTGGTGATACATACTAATTATATCTGTCGACATCAGTAACACACATCACATTAATAGTAATAAATATATCAAGATTTTTAATTATTTTTATTATTTAGCCCGATTTAAATAAATAGATAAACTTATATTGGGCATAAAAATGATTGTAAATCCTGTATAAACTTAAATTTCTTTTACTAAATGATAAACCATTATTGCTGATATTAACTATTGTTTATTATTCTGATACTAATCAGTATATGCCCACTAGTGACTACCTTCCTGGAGTTCTAGCGTGAAGCAGTGACCAATGGAGTTCAATTGGGTCAGTTGTGTGATAGTAACTCACTGAAGACAACGATGGGCGTGTCGCTCAATTTCGTGGATTAGTTGAAGTTAGACAATAACACCATTGGATGCCTGACGGCTCAGTGGTCTAATGGTTAAGCGCTCGCGCGCAAGACTGATAGGTCATGGGTTCGAATCTCGTCCCGAAATACGACAATAAGGCCGTCCAGTACTTCCAGGTTTGTTAGGATAAATACAAAAGTATAGAAAACTCAGTTGTTTATAAGAAATTTTTACCGAACAATATATGTTTCTTTCATAAAATTAATTTTGACATTTTTATATCTCAGTAGTTGAAACCATCAGTCAATTGAAGCTAGACCACCATGGAAAACCTTTTGTGGGACTTTTCAACTGTGTGCATCCACGAGATTCAAACCTAGGACCTATCAGTCTCTCGCGTGAACGCTTGACCTCTAGATCACTGAGCTGGCCGGCATCCAATGGTGTTAATATTTTTATATCGGTAGTGAATTAAATACAGCATGGCATTATTTGTTAATAAAATTCACCTACTCATTTCATCTTAATTTTGGTAGAATATTTGAAATTTTCTTTGAGTAATTTAATATCTATCCCCCACATTTTCATTTAATATAGGTCATCCATTGTACAGTCATCAATAATAAACCCGATAACATTTGAAACGAATGACCGTTCTACTTATTTTAATTCGGTTTTCGTTTTGATATTTTTATTTTTCAAGTCATAAAAACTGATTACGTTAACAACTAAATAAATCTTAATTCATTCACCATTACACAGTAACTAAATACTTTTCATGCTTTATTGGAAATCAATACTGTTGAAATTATGGCTATGATTATGTTTATTTTGTATCAGTTAACAGTATATATATATATATATATATATATATATATATATATATATATATATATATATATATATATATATATATATATATATATATATATATATTCGCATGCATGTGTTAGTATTTGTATTTATATCATAAAAAGTCGATAATAAAAGGCTAAATTGATTTTTACAGAAATGCATCTGTAACTCTAGTGAACACAAATATACACAAAAATTATATAATTATCAATGATTCTAAACCACTTCATGATCAGTACGATAATTTATGGACGACTTTTCAACTACGTTAAAGTTACCTTGATAGCGTCCATTTGATAACTAGGACCAAATGAGGATTATAAAGCAGAGTGGAGAATTAAAAATATGATTTATAGTTGACGGTTAAGGTTAGGAAGTAGATTTAAGATTTTCATCACGAACTAACATAAACTAAAATGCCAAAATGTTATTTAGCCAAATCGATGAATGAATTTCGCGCTAAAATCCAATACCTGTTATCTTATATCTGATTGGTTCGTCCATAAATTATAGTCACACCGATACCTCACTCAAGACTCAAGAAATTTTCTAATAATATATCACTTTAATCCAAATACCTTAACCCTAAAAAAGCCATTTTTTAACTTTTGATAAATGTACCTATTGTATGAATTTCAAGTATCGTTATGATAGTAATCATTTGTACTTTAAGTAATATTGATAATTTTCATGACGGACTGATCTTCGTATTTCCTTACGAGTGCGCATCCATGAATTCTACGTTAAATCAAGCTAGACATAAAAACCATTGAGTTGGAGCCCAGTGATCTAAACATTAAGCATTCACATTGGGACCTAAAGGTCATTAGATCCATGGTAGGGTCGCGGGTGAATCCCATGCTAGAACGAAACAGGTTTCCAGTACTTTATGATCATTAAGAACTGCCTGAAATCACTCCATCATGAAGATTATAAAAATTTAATAGTATCCACAAACTACATACATCTTATGAATAACCATCAATGTCAACTGTGAATGTCACAAATCAAATAAGGGTTCACTAAGGTTTAAAATTCAATTATATTGATTATATGCAACCACGGTATCAGTCAATTACGATGGAAAATTCTCCACCACTATAAGATTACGATTTTTTTAAATGAAGAATGTTGGGAGTTAACATTCTGTTATTGAGGATTTTCAGAAGAGTGTTTCATCGATGTTATCACTATAAAAATTTATCCCATCCATATGACCTATAGATAATTGAGTCCTCAAGTATGTGGCTAATCTTCGGAAAATTATACGGGGAAACAAGCACTAACGAACATATCTGCGATGTGTGTAAAAATGATAGTAGTAAACAGTTCTAAACAACATTAACTGACGTAGCCGATTCAGGTTATATTTTATATCAGACACATCCGACCAATAAAATACTAGAAAGAACTGAATTATTATTTCTTAGGAATGTGGCTTCTGTTTTAGTTTAATGAGTACGTCAGAATTTTGCTCATCTTCAAAAGGTCGAGTTTATATTTTTTACTACATAATGTATTAAATAATTGTAATTCACAATCCCAAAGTGTGTCAGAAAAAGACAGGACGATGTGTCAGTTTGTGATATATAGAATTGCAAAATCAGTATTGGGGTTCATCATGAGAAACATCTAATTTCCTACTTTATTTTTCTTTAAAAAAGTACATTTTCTAAACATGAACTCATATTTCTTCTGTTACATACTGTTGTTGACCCAATTAAAATCAATCTAAAAATATTGAATGAACACATGTGCAACCTGAGTGCATAGGTCATCCTATATTTACACAAAAATCAAATACTATTAACAAAATTATTATATATTGATCATTAGATTAGAATCTTACTAATAGTAATAATAATAATGACAATCATTAATTTCATCATCAGTATGACCAGATCCATAACACTTCACAGAAAACAAGCACATGGAGAGGATTAGAAAAACAGGAAAAATGAAGATAAGTAGTAAGCTGTTAAGAACAAAATAGGGTAATAGGATACTATATATATATGGTAATTATTTTTTCAGAGATCACAGTTAGACAGAGATTATAGGTGGAGGGGAAATGATAAAGAATAAGCACGAAGATACCATGTGATAGGAGAGAGAATCTAAAGTAAGTAATCAAAATACGCACCAACAGTGATACAGGATTATGGCAGAAACAAATGAAATAATATCAGGATAAATTAAGAGAAAATAAACAGATCTAAGAATAAAATTATACAAATGAACGAACAAATATTCATATTAATTGATCAACCTTACAATTTCACCTGGAATTCAAATGATTGAGTAAATTTGTGCGCATGTAGTTGAATGTGGGAACAAACACAAAACTCATTTCTGACTGGAAGTGAAAAAAACATTGTTTTCTATTGAAAAAATAATCATTTTCGATAACAAATCGCAAGAGACATACTACACAATATTATTAGAACATTGGTGAAGAATAGTACAAAGAAGGGAAAATTAAGTAATGATAGTAATAAAATTAATGACTGAACGTTGAAATAACGAAAAAAACAAAACAATTGAAAACATTTTATTTACAACAGTATAAATTAAGATGTGCGCTGAAATAGGCATACATATATACATTCATTTAGATTGTAAAGGAATCGAAGGAAAGAGTGAAGTATATGTATTCCAGATAAATAGCAGAGTGGATTAAAGAGATGTGTTAAAGATTGACTGATTTGTCTACTCTACTCTACATGAGAACGTAAAAACACAAAAAGACAAATACAAAAACGGGAGATAAACTAAAATAACACAAACAAACAAATTAGTACACTTTTTAATGCAAGGGCCATTGAATAGTCCGAGGATTGAGTAGAAAAACATCCAAACTATGTCCATAAAACAAAAAGGAAAGTAGATTTTTCAATTTGTAAACATTTACATAAAAAGAGAGGAATTTGTCTAAATCGACAGAGAAAAGCGAACAAAGAATGATAGTTGGAAGTAAAATGCAGATTTTAGAAACAGGTGAACAATAAATTTCGATGTAAAATCTCCTAATACTAACCAGAAATAATGATAATAATATGCACATAGATGTAAAGAAATCAAGTGAAAACTGTAGCGCTTCTATTGTCAGTAATACTAAGATTTTCTGTACAAGTTAAATTGGATTGATTAGATGTTACTAAATTTGAATTAGGTTTATGTTCTGGGAAATTTGAATTATTCAATGTAGTATCTAATGATAATGTTGTATTTACATTATCGGTTAGTTTGTCTAAATCATTAATAATTTCTTTGATGGCATTCTCTGCGTCTTTTAATAAATTTGCATTATTTTTATTGTACTTACTTAGATTATTAGTATTATTATTACAAGTAGAATCGAGTTTTTTAGAACGTAATAAACTGCTAAATGTTTGTAAACATGCGAATCGATCACGAAAATTAAATTTTGCTCGAGCTGAACATGTAGCCTGATCAATATATGCAGAACAACTAAGTCGACATGCTTCCATTTGATCTGCTAACTCAATTAACTGTTCTAAATTTGATGATGATGATGATGAAATGGCAGTGGACGAGGGAGAGGAAATAATATTTCCAGGAATTTTTTTATCATTCATACGAATCAAACGTTCTAAGTCTCCTAAAATATTTGATAAATGCTTTTTCAAGTGGTGTTTTGTTGGTGGAACACAGTGATTATTACCATTAGTCTCGTCCAATGCTGTAGATGATGTAGAAAATATAGTAGGTAGATATAATCGTTGGGACCGCTTCTGATTACCAGCTGAATTATCATCAGTTGGACCAGTCCAACTTAAACGCTTTTGTATTATATCAGATAATTTATCAGAGATTTCATTTTCAGACCTTTTGAAATGAGGTTTTGGGGAATTGTTATCATTACTATTGATATTTGTGGGCAACTTGCTGGTCGTAGTGATAGTTGAATTAGAACTATTATCATTTTTGATCTGAGTCGATGCAAGTGATCGGATCAATTCTGAAGGACAACATGGAGGCTCCACTTTTCCACGTGTTGATGTTTGATTGTTACTGGATCCAGAAGTATTATTCGAGGATATCCGAGGTGGATTCGCAGAGTGTGGTGGTGGTCTTAATCGGGGGATAGTGAAGTAAGGGGAAGAATTAGAAACCGATGATTTTGAATCACTTTTTTCCTGATTACGCAGCACTGAATTCGTAACATTACTAGGTGAATTATTTAGTATAGATTTAGATGTAATCGGTTTCAGCTGAGATGAACTTTTAAGCTGTTGAGAATGCTTTTTTAATCTATCTCGTAATTCCTCTTGAAAGACAGATGATGAAACATTGGTAGGATGAACATTTTGCTTAGAAGAAACATTATTCCCTGAATAAGATTCATTAAGAAAATTAGAATCTATACTGCGCTTATTGTGGGAATGATCTACAACGGGATTAGTTTTGTTAGATAAATCCGAATTTACAGTGGTTTTCGATAAAGCTGGTGACTTTGAAGAAAGCTGAATATGTTTACCTGGTGTGGGAGGAGCAAGTGGTGATATTAGACGATCAGGACAAATTGATCTTGTCAGGCTGTTATCTAACGGAATGGGATCCACATATGAAAATTGACGAGAAGATGGGAAAATTGCTGTAAGATAGGAAAAATGATGTAAACAATCATAGTAAAATTACAATCTACTTAGAAGATAGTTTTGCAAGATGCTATAATTGATAAGTAATCCTCTCTAGAAGTGTATTTAGTTGAATAGTTAGTATTTTTCTGCTACTGTTTTAGTACAGAATACGAGGCAGTTTAGGGTATACAGGAAGACAAGTAATCTCATATTTTCATCGAATGTTATTAGAATCTCTCTTTATATGAGTCAGCTACTCTTATTGCTTAGTATTCTTCGGATACTTCACTTCATCTGACTATTCCTCAAAATCAGAGGACGGTTGAACAGGAATGCGATCATACTCCAAAAAAACCAAGTTGAATGGGAGTAACAGTTTTAGTGAAAAAAATGTTAGTAAATTTATGAATTATGTACAAAAATATTCTAGAGTCTTCATCTGTCTTCAAGCGCTGATTGGCTAAAAATGGGCTAGTTAGAGTCCCCCAACATTAAACTGCATGGAACATGCACCTATCCAGAATATGGCTTGCTAACAACTCTTTATGTTTGACGAGTAAAAAAAATTTAATATATTTTTTGAGAAACAAAATCGTGAAGTCGGTCATTCGTTACAAAATGAGAGCAAACTGTTTTGCAAGGATTCAGGTCATCTTCATTAGTACAAAAATAAAAGTAACTTTGTTGGAGAAATATACAGACATGTATCAAAAGACAATTACGTTGCATAGTAACTTATTTTGCACTACGTAGAGGGAATTGAAATATTCCTGCTGCCAGTTGACGAATTAGGAAGTTTAAAGTATTTTAGAAAGTTATTGGCGTATTTCCTGAGTAAAACAGAGCTAATAAGTTGGTGATGCCAAAGCTAGGGACATAATAATGAGTGGTAACCTGTACGTCGGACTGACGAACCTTTAAACCTATGTACACATTCATTATCCATCCTGAGCAACTGATTAACCCGAGGTAAAATAGTGTCTGATAGCTGTTTTATTCTATTTTGGAACTCCTAAACAATCTGAACACTCCCAATACTACATGAAATCTGAGCAAAATCCTTCGGCTCTCGAACTGAGCATGATTGTTTCAAGCCATCAAGTCATCATTCATATTTCCAAACATACTAAAATCCCAATACGTAAATTTCGGAATATTTCTACATATTGATTACGTAAACCTAAAAATTTATTTTACGAAGTTTTTAAAAAAAAGCAATCATCATCACATAGAATAACAAACGTCACAAATTATAGCATAAATATGACTAGTAAATTGATAAAATAATTTACATACCAGAACTACTCATAACTGATGGCACTGAAAATGGTGTTGAGTTCGAGTTATTTGGTAATGAACCATTATTAGGCTGTGGTGCTAGACGAGGATGTTGTTGTGATCGGGGTTGATGTATTTGATGATGACTAGAATCAAGATGAACTGGTGGGGGTGGCAGTGGTGGATGATCAAAGTCATCCAGATGGGAATTCGGGTAAACACAACTATTATCTTCTAATGAATTGAAATCAGTTAAGAAATTCAACGGTTTAACTGGTGTAGTACGTCTTGGTGGTCGCGGTGCAGTTCTTTTACGCCCAAGAGATCCTGAGTTTGTAAATGGTAGATCTTTTTCAGCAGTACCAAACTCATCAGTACTTAAATCACCAATATGTAATTGTTTCGAAAGGGGATTCTTAAAACTCCTTGTAAATATACCTTTATGAGATTTGTGGTTAACATTATTGTTATTATTTATAGCATTTACTGGTATATCACTACCCAAATCGGATTTACAATCCTCTGAAAAAAGATATAAGATTAAACGAAATGATGACACAAGAATAAAAATATGTGTGAAAAATATTATGAATTTATGGTGCAACTTTTAATCAAACATAGTTCTGTGAATTTGACTATTTTAAGGTCTAATGGCAGACATTTTATATGGCTGTCCAAAACAAAGTTAATGGAATAGGGTTCAAAGTATTAATAAATTAGTAGAATAAGAATTTGAACTTTTGAAGGACTAAGGCATTGTTCTATTAACTGATAGCTTAAAAATTTGAAGTTCAGTTTAATAAACTAATGTCAGTTGAAAAACTAGGAGATTTTTAGTGAGGACTTTATGAAAATGCATGATAGCGTAGTCATTACACCATCGGAATTAAGAACTGTTATGATAGGTTTGTTTGACAAAACAGGGAAATTTTGACAGTAGTTTTTTTAATTTCTGTACTAAGTGATATTAGTCACACTTGCTTTAAACAATTAAACTCAGAATTTGCAAGCCATGACAAATAATAACTATCCCGCTGATTCTGTTGTTCAAAGCTGAATACAATCAAATAATTGTTCAAATCTATGATAAACAATACGTTACGTATTTTTATACAATCTATTTATTTGAAAGAGCGAAAAAAAACTTCGCCGAACTTGATAGTACATCATAATTTCAAAAACGTTAGGATGAATGATTCAATTCCAGTAAAAACAGACAATTCAGAAATATTTACTGACCTATATACACACGAATACAACTACTAAGTGAACTTCTGCGTATCATCAGTTACAGTCTCTACAAATGCGTGTCAAAATTCATGTCTGTTGTCACATTTTATATCGACAAAACGAAAGAAGAGATAAAAGATGTGAAACAAAGACAACAATATAAATAATAGTAATGAGAAACGAGGAAAAAAAGTTGAAAGGAACAAATGAGAGTACTTTTGGAAAGTCAATTACTACGAATTGTGATAGTAGGTAAATGTTTATTATTTTTAACTGACCATCTGAATATATTTGCGTTCAACATGGAAAACTATCTCCAAAGAGAAACGAATTCAAGTATATGAGAAACGAACACAATTATTCATTCTAGTCGTAAATTAATAAGAAATCATTATAGTAGAATTGGTCAGTAGAACTTCTAAAGAATACTGACTACTGTACTAATAACCGATAATAACATCTAGACTAAATCGTTGCAGTTCCATATAAATTAACAACTGAATGGAAAGTTGTTAATGAATTAAAGAGATAATTGTGATATATCAATAAAAGTTGAATTTTGAATTTCTAACGTTTACTGGTTTAGTTTCAGACACTTCTTCAGCGTAGATACATAAATAACTGAAGCAAAATTAATACCAATTTAAATAGTGCGAAGGAAACTCAGCAGAATATTTTTAATACAATGAAAAACAAAATGGTTTCGAACATTGCAATGTTATGCTGTGCAAGGTGACTTATGTGGGATAATAGAATATTTCTACTTATTAAGATATCATAAAATTATCCTTTAATGTTTTATGCTAATCCTAGTTGTAGAAAGATTAAATATAAAATATAACCTCAACTACCCCCAAATATCCTGGTACGGTCGAGAATGGAGAGAGTCGGCTCTAATCAAAATACTCTCACATGGCCACGCGTATACAGCCACTACTAGGGAAGTAATAATCACCCATATCTCGTGCAGCGAATGTTTGTTTTACAAAAGTGAGAGGACGAAAATCGAATGTCCAGAGAATGCCAAAGTGTGGCACATATATATTCGGTGCCTATTTGTACTTATATATAACTAATTATATTTGAATGAATACTATTTTCTTTAAAAGATAGTTATTATTTGAATGATTCATTAAAGTTTATAGTAAATTACAACATAAAAATAGAATTTATCAGATTATGTATTTATTCAACTGTTTGCTGAAGTATATAAATAAACTTAAAGAAGTAACAAAACCACTTTACTTTATTCAGAAATTATGAGATAAAAATGACTTCGTAGAATAGTAGTTAATAAATAAACCATTTTATGACAGTATATTATCAATGACATAAAGTTTAAAAGAATAAATAACGAAAGTTTCTTCTTACAGAAAAAGAACTTAACAAACTATACTTCTTTGTAATGTGTTAACAGGGTGAGCGGAAAAGAACTTATCCAAAAGAAATTTAAATCTCAAAGAAGTCTGAAGGAGTAAGATATAGTGTAATTAAGAGATAATATAGACTAAACTTGTCAAAAAAATCGTGATGGGCAATTTTATTAAGTTATTCTTACATAAAATTGTGTAATTCACAACGAAGTTAACAACTTTTAGTGAATCGATAATACTCAGAAATAATGGCAGAATAATTCATTAAAATCAATCAGAATAAACCTTCAGTAGCTTGAACACTAACAATCACATAGCACCATTTGTTATTTCTCATAATGTTATACGATCCGAATAACAAAATCTAACTCACGTATCAGAGCTCAATTAAGATCACCTAAACTGAGAATCTGTCACAAAACAATAACAGCAATGCAAACAGAAGTAACCTATTCGCCCAACAGTACAGAATTATGTAATTAAGTTTCGGTCAATCTTTAGACGTGAGGGTTAGTGACACTAAATTGAAGTAGTTGGAGTAGGACTTGGAACGTGTGAAAAAAAGACTGAAACCAGAATACTTTAAACAAAATCAAATTAAGAAACCGTTCCAAATTGCATGTAACATTCAAAGAATAACAAAACTTTAACTAACCTTTAATCATATCAAATTGATTATCATCATTCTCATCAATTAAATAATCGCAACTGGTGCTTCTTCTTGGTGGGGGTGGTCTAGGAGGCAGTGGCGGTCGGGGATACGCAATATTAGGTGGATGTTTAGTGGATCTGTTTGGCTCGCTAGAGTTGATCACCTTTATTTCATTGTTATTTAATAATAACGATGATGACGATGTAGTAGAAGTTATATCAAAATCGATTTGTTCTTCTTCTTCCATTGTAGAATTGGTTGGCATAGATTCTAATTGACTTAATATATCAGAAAATGGTGGGCGTTGTTCTGGAAGCCATTGCCAACCTGAAAAAAAGAGGTAAATATTAGTAGGAAGAAAACAATACATCGAGACTATCTGCACAGGATGTACATATGTCAAAAAGAGAGAACGATCTGTTACAGTACCAAACATCAATGGGAATGTTAGATAATGTGAAATATTTACATGCTAAAATAAACTTATTTCAGAGAACAGAAATTAAGTGATTCATTAGTTTGGCACAAAAAGAGTCTTAACAGGAACCATACATTTAATGAACTCTATACTTAGTTCTATGAACGTAAAGAGTAAACAAAAAAATATTATGCAACATAAACTTAGATTGTTGTGCAAAAAGGTACAATTAATAAATCGTGTGCAGTATTATCATGATGAAACTAATTCTCACAATATATTATGTAAGAATAAACTATAATACCGATAAACAATGAACTATCTGATACATTATTCAATATCAGTCAGTCAAAACGAAATGAGTATCGACCTAACTTGGGAAATGTGATATCATAATCATCACCAAGATAAATGATGGTGAATATAAATAGAAGTTGAAATAATGGTAATAATATCTAAATCTGGTACAAAAGAGAATAAAAGAATTATAAATCGAAAAAAGAATGAGTGAAATTCGAGAGTGAAAAGTGTGAATTAATACGTACTTAGAAATTTCAACAAAGATACATTTATGGCAAATCAAACTGAATAAACGACTATTTTCATTATCCAAATCATCTTAGGATTAAAAACTGTGGTGATTGTGAAACCAGACTAAAATGCTGTCAAATGGTTCGAGGTAGTCAGAGAGAAGCCCTGGAATTGTGTTTCGTGTTGGTTGGTATTTATAATCTTGCTACTTGTGCAATTTGAACACACATTGCCGAGGTTCAGTCTGAGACGTTACCACAAAGCTATTCCGGCAAAACAAAAATGACACTAATCATTACTCAATGATCGATCGATTCTAATGTAGGCCCCACATGGTTTCTTATTAGGAAGGTTATGAACAATTAATAAATTACGTATGGTACAATAACAAGTATTTAACTTTAATACCTTCAAAAGATTAAGTAGTGATAATTGAATGAATAGATAAGCGAATAGCAGGATTTTTGATAAGTTATTTTATGATCTATCAGATATTTAAACTCATTTGTCTGTTAATTAAACACAAATTATGTTACAGTATTACAATGAGTTTAAAAGTTGATAAATCCTTTAAAAACCCCTAAATTATCACCGATTAAACGTATTGACTAACTATATCAATGCCCTTATGATGATTCGCAGATTTATATTTTTATTCTACATTCATTTACTGTTAATTCTCAAAACAAACAAAATATTTTTAAAACAAAATGAATACAATACGAAAAAAGAAAGAAATTTATGCAATCACTCTTTAAAACTATATTTTATTCTGAAGTGGTTTGATGTTCAAGTTTATGTACACTGACAATTTGCTTATGTGAAATTCAACGACAACATTCTAAGGTATCTGGATCGAAGTAAATAAAATAGGTTTGAGATTGTAACTTACTGAGGTCGAAAGCATCAACCAATGAATTATCAGCACCATATATACTTATTTATTTCCATAATTACCCTTAAGTGGTAACAGTCAAATTATTACAAGTAAATAATATCTATGTCTCGAGGGTAAGAAGCCAACAAACTAATAATAAGCGAAAACAAAATAATAGTAAGGGTTTGATGCGTTACCCAAGTAACCTAATTTTTATCAAACAGAATTGATCGAGTGAAGCTAAGAATAAAACGTAGACAATTCAATGATCGCATCAAAGCATTAAAAATAAACTATGAAAACTGAACAAAATACATTTAGAGAGGGAGAGAGAGATAATGGAAAATATTAGAAAAGCTAATTATTTAGTAGAAGGATGAATATACAAAGAGAACCACTATTCATTCACACACATATGACATTTGTTTGTTTGTTTTTCCTTAAAATAACAAAGAAATGATACTAGTAGTAACGGTTAGAAGATACAATATTTCTCCTTATCTCCACTTGGACAGAGAAAACATAAAAACAGGGAAATAAAGATGAAAGTATTTGTTGAAAAGCAAATGACAGCGAATAAAAATGTGTACCTAAAACAAGGCTAATAGTTGAATAAATGTGTCTAATAATAATTATAATGGTAATAATAAGGCAAATGTGAAATTCCTCAGACATATGAATCATTCAGTGAAACAGAGAAATTATGACCAGCTTAGTGATCAATGAATAGTTATTTTCAGCCGACAATAAGTAGCAAACACTTTTATTTATCATCAGATTTCACCTATTAGTATTGTTCTAGTAAATATACATGAATCTATCTAACTCGAAAATAATTTATTTTATTCATAGAAGCCGAAATCTGCCTACTGCCGAAGATAATCATTGGTTATTAGACATTATAGATAAATAATAATAATAATTCTCCAGGCACAGGCGTATGTACTTGGTTTTGAATGGTGCATTTTGTGTGATGGCTAATGGTAAAATCCGCCTATTTAAGGTGGGTTCGAACACAAAGTTCATTTGTAGTATGAAGAGAAAGGGTGGTTGTTGACAAACGTTATTTTGCTTCTCAAGACAAAACAAATCTGTATGTATTAGTTGTTAATCAATAGTGGAGAGTGTAGAAAAAATAAACACGTAGTTAATTACTACAACTTATAGTTTTGCGTAAACACCAGGTAGGATGAAAACTAGATTTGTTGTACCTTCAATAAGTTGACAAATTAATCCCAACCAAATACGATTCCCACATTAACTTATTAACCATTAAACACAAAAAATAACTAGTAGAAATGTACCATGACAAAATGCTGAAAAAAACTTCATTCAAGTCAACTTGATGCCCTGGGTTTTTTAAATATGTTAATATAGAACTGTTAGTCGTCTTTAGTTGCCGTTTTCTAAATAATGAAGGATCATGTTCAGAAAGCCAAAGACGAAATCGACTAATTGTATTCGATGTAATTGGTTGTACAACTGAAAATAAACACATAAATACATATAGAAGAGATATGTCTTTGTTTTTAAATGTTAAGACCAGTAGATTGAAAAAAATGTTTGTCGAAAATACGCAGATACGACTTGTCTTACTAACCTGGCCAAGACAAAATCAATTTTTCGTATCATGCAATAAAGAAGCAGCTAGCACAAATTCTACACGCATTTGACAAAAAAAATCATTAAGCATGATCTAAAAGATTACTTTTAGAGTATGTTGATTAGAGAGATGGCAGTCAAAAATAAAGTCATGATGGCATTAGATCTGTCATATCTATTCACTAACGTCTCTCTATTAGGAACAATTGAAATTCTATGCACTGAGCGTACTGAGCAACGCATAGGAACTGGGACTCCGATCTCTACATCAAAATAGGTGCACGATGAATGTGCAGTTCTGATTCAGTAAATTCTACAGATAGTCGAATGAATGAACGGGTATTATTGAGTCTATCATTATATTAATTTATATTACCATGTCACTCATAAATATTATGAAAATATCGTCTATGCAACGACTGTAAACTGCTAGCTGATCTTCTACATTTTAGAGAGGTCTATTGTCCCAGTAAGCTCGAAAAATATCTGCTAAAAGTGATCCCCATAGTAATCACACAGTTACATGAAAAGTAACTTAGTGTAAGGACCGTATAATTAAGAAATAATCAAAGCAAGAAATATCGTTAATCTAGCAGACTGAAAACAGTCTACACTATTTATTTGTCAAAACAAATAAACATTGGTACAAGGAGGCACCAAATACATACGCGCCACACAAATCGAACGATTTGTGTGAGAACTGGAATACTATCCTACACTATTTAAATCACATAACAGTAATGTTAATGAGATAGAAATGAATAAAAAGCTTTGTGTGTACCATACATCAAAAGATAAATAATGCAAGCGAAGAAAACATAATTATCCAAGTTACATAATCGAAAATAACTTAATTAATTGGTGGAACAATCAATCAAACGTACATTGTAACATAAGTTCATAAACTGGTTCAGGGCAACCTTCAGGACAAAGCATCCGTGTACCTCTTTCTAATAAAACATAAACATCTTGTAATTCAACACCTGGATATGGTGTTTTTCCATAGGTGGCAATTTCCCATAACAATATACCAAATGCCCATACATCTGATTTAGTTGAAAACAGATTATAGACTAAACCTTCTGGTGCTGTCCATTTTATAGGAAATTTAGCGCCTTCATGAGCTCGATAAGTAAGATCACGTTCTATACAACGAGCTAAACCAAAATCTGCCACTTTAATGGTATGTTGTGTGCCAACTAGACAATTGCGGGCTGCTAAATCACTATACAGTGAAGAAAAACATTGCAATAAAAAGAAAACGATTTGTTAGGGTACAACAGATAACATTCAGAATAACGAATTCATGTACTCAACAAAAATTAAACTAGATAATCATTTCATCATTGAATTAGATTTAAGTCCAACTACACGTTTGTCAAGTGTGTTTAAAATAACAAGCTTCCAGGAAAACACATAAACAGAGAATGATCAATAATAAAAATTTGATCTTAAATTTATTTATCTAACAGTTAAATTCATTCAATATAACAGTTTTGAATCGAGTCATGATAAACTGTTTATATGGCGAACAGTAAGGTTTCTCAACACGAAGGATTGTTTGCATTGAAACAATGGTCATTTTCTCCAAGACAACAAACAATTTATCATATTGATTATACGTGAATCGAACGATTAATTACTGGACGCTAATTATAAATATTTTGCGAACATTTCCAAAACACCTATTAAATGATAATTGTGTTTTTTCATACATAAAACATTATTTCTTCCTTTAAGAGTGTCTCTTCGCACTGTGTATTTATTTATTTCAACATATGAATATTGATACAAGAGAGCACCAAATATACATGCACCACACAAAACAATGACAATCGGAAGAGCAAAAAGAAGGCAAGATGAGTATAAGAAAAAAAAGAAAAGAGTAGTGTAAGGTAGTTGAATAATAATAATAATAATAATAATAATAATAATAATAATAATAATAATAGGGGAAACAGAAATGTACAAACAGAAAAAATTCCTTCACTTAAGGAAGATACAACCACTTTTTATGAAAAAAGTAAACGAAGGTTACAGCAGGATCGCCACTGGCTTCTATTCTGAGCCATTCCTGATAACGTCTCTACCCACTGTGTAGCACCATCTCTTGGACCCCAGCCACGGAGTCGTGAAGGACCAACAGAAGCCAGTCCCGTGCAGCTTTCTTTCATACCACGACACCATTTCATACACTGACTACCTCTCCGCTTTTTCCAACCAGTCCCAGAGTCGCCAAATAATGCACGACGTGGAATTGTCTGGGACGACATTCGTAGAACATATCCAAGCCACCGAAGTCGATGTTTCAAGATGGTGACACCAATCGGATTATCATCTCTGTGCCCGAACACACGATGCCGAACCCCTGCATCACTAACATGGTGTTGCCACTGAATGTTAGCAATCCTTCGGAGACAACGATGATCGAACACAGAGTCATCTAACATCCTCAACTCGGAGAGGCCAGGTTTCACAAGCATACAGCAGAACTGCTCTCACCGACGCGTTGTAGATCCAACCTTTTACAGACAGACTGACATCACGAAGGCGCCAAACATGGCCCAGATTGGCATAAGCCGCTCTGGCTTTCACTATACGTGCATTGATCTCATCGCTCAGGCCACAACCAGCACTTATGCAGCTACCCAGATACACGAACTTCTCGACTACTTTTATCTGCTAACCATCCAGGGTGAGTACAGGATTAGAATCCTGCCAGTCTTGTAGAAGTACTTTGCACTTCGGAGATGCAAAGCACATACCATACCTACGGACACTAATTAGCAAGTGATTAAGTGCGGATTGCATGGCTTGGGCATTATCCCACAGTAAGAAAATATCATCCGCATACTCAAGGTCGAGAAGTCTTTCTCCAGGCAACAGATCCACACCGCCATTACTTACATCCATCAGCTGTTTCCAGAATGTCATCGATGGCAAAGTTGAAGAGGAATGCTGTGATTGGACAATCCAGTCTTACCACACTGCTTGAATGGAACAGTAGAGAAAGTTGGTTGTATGCCCCCAATCTACCTGAGATGTTTGTATATAGGGCCTGTAAAATGTTAATGAAATTCTCAGGTACACCCTTCTTCAACAGACAATCCCAGAAAACAGTAGTCCAACGAATCGAAGGCGGCTCTGATGTCAAGAAACAATAGGATTGTTGACCTTTGATAAGTATGACGGTGTTCTAACATTTGGCGGGGGGTGAAGATATGATCAATACATCCTCGACCAGAACGAAACCCAGCCTGCTCCTCGCGAGTCAATCTTTCTCGGGTTTTGAACAAGCTACGAAGTACGACGAAAGCTAATAGCTTGGACGCAATCAGAAGCAGACTTATCCCCCGATAGTTGTTACAGGAACGACGTGAACCGTTTTTGAAGATAGGGACAACTATCGACTCATTCCATGACGTTGGAACACTCTCTAGCTCCCAGACCTTTGTAAACAACGTCGTCAATTCCTTAGTCAAAAAGTCACCACCATCTTTAAAAAGAGTCGGAGGTAAGTCATCTGGGCCCAGTGATTTGTAGCGTTTCAAGAGTTGGAGTTACTTGCGAACTTCTGCCTCATTTGGTGGACTAGTTGTCACCAGCCATGGAGGGCAGGACAATCTGACCGATGTTGCCGGAGCAGCAGGCCAGTTGAACTGCCCTTCGAAGAATTCTGCCCATCGTCCAAGACGTCCATGGATGTTAGTGACTGGCATCCCGTCTTCCTCACAGATTGTTTCACTCACACCAGACTGCTTGCTGCCAGTGGCTCGGATGGGTTGGAAGAGCTTCCGGTAATTACCAGATGCAGCTGCTGCTTCCAGCTCATAAGCACGCTCCGACCACCGGGATTTTCGGTCCTTACGTAAGCTTTGCCCGATTTCATTACGTAACAGTCCTCGTTTGTGGTCAAACTCACGGTTACCCGGAGTAGACCGACGGGCTTCCATGAGTTGTAAGGAGCCTGAAGAAACCCAGTGCTTATAAGCGGGATGTTTCGCGAACCTACAACTGAATTTACTTGCCATTTCCATGGCGTCATGAAGTTGCAATCAATGCTCATCTATACTTTTCGGTGGAATGGTAGCTAGCCTAGAAACTAGCTCGGTTCGATACGTACTTGCAACAGAAGTTGCTAGCAAATTGCTAACGTCAATCCGTTGGTGGTTGTCATTTCGTTGGCCACTGGAAAGTAAGGTAAGATTGGCGCAGACCAGGACATGATCAGAGTCCAGACAGGTACTCCAAAAGGAGCGACAGTTTTATACACAACCACGCCAGCGGGAGCTGATCGCGATGTGATCAATCTGAGTTCAGGTTTGAGATGAAGAGGGAGGACGCTAGGTGGCACGTCGGCGATGACTGTGCCAAAAGTTAATGCTAGCCAGAAAATACTCTCACATGGCTACACGTATACAGCCACTATCAGGGAAGTCATAATCACCGACATCTCGTAGAGCGAGTGTTTTTTTACGAAAGTGAGAGGACGAAAATCGAATGTTCAGAGCTTTAACCAGGTTGGTCGATACAGAGGTTCCATTCAGGTAAGTTGGAAAACCCTGACTTCAAACAAATGGTGAATATGGACTACAGGATCCTGAGGGAACAAATGACGTATGAACCTATTGTTGGCCACCGAATACCATGAGGCTGCATCTCCAGACACTGCTCCACTGCCTTGTGGATTCAGTCAGTCAGTCAGTAACAACGTAGAACTTCGTACGTAAGTGCATCAGTTCGAGTTGCCACACCACATTAGCACAGAGATGCAGTGGTCGATTCAAATCCCGTAGTGGTAGAGACAGTAAAAGCATGAGCAGTAATCGGAAAGATTAGGGTTCGGAGATGTTATTTAAAGAGTATAATTCAGTAAAATAAATTCGGGAAGAGAAAAAAGAGACAAGGAGGAATAAGGAAATTAGAATTTGAAAGAACACAAAGTGTATGCACCTGCGCCATTGCAAACGATTTTGAGCCATGTCATTCAGGGTCTCTAACCATCGGTTGCTATCATCTCGCGGTCCCCAACCAGGTAGTCTACACCTACCAACGTGGCTCAGTCCACTTTTCAGTGACTTCACGGACTGGTGCCATGTTTTGGTCTGGCCGCCCCTAGCTTTCTTCCAATCTACTCCTATACAACAAAACATCGCACGTTGAGGCAGTCGGTGGTTGGGCATACGTAACACGTGTCCTAGCCATCTCAACTGATGATGTTTCACTACTTCATCAATGGATTTGCCATCCTTACCTAGTACCCGTTTCATAACAACTGCGTTACTTACTCGATGGTCCCATGATATACGAGCAATGTTTCGAAGACACCTATGATCAAATACTAGTAACCTACGAATATCCTCTACTCTTACCGGCCATGTTTCACTGCCATAAAGTAGGACGGAACGAACTGCTGCGCAGTAAACACGTCCTTTGGTTGATAGACGGATATCTCGCCTACGCCATAAATGACGCAAGTTGGCAAAAGCTAGTCGAGCCTTCTGTATCCGTGCTGAGATTTCGTCACACACCAAACCACAAGGGCTAATGAGACTTCCAAGATAAGTGAAGCGATCGACATGCTCAATTACTTCACTCCCTATCATTAGTTCGGGTGTCAATGCAACCCAATCCTGAAGTAACATTTTGCATTTCGAGGGGGAGAATCGCATCCCGAACATGCTTGCATTGTTGCTTAGAGTGGTCAGAAGACTCTGCATTTTGTCAGCGTCTTCACCAAATAAAACTATGTCGTCTGCATATTCTAAGTCAACAAATGAATCTCCCGGTAAAAGTTCAACCCCTGGAAATCTAAATGAGGGAAGTGTCATCTCTAAAAGCACGTCAACAACAAAGTTAAACAAGAATGGGGAGAGTGGGCAGTCCTGACGAACACCACTTGAGGTAATCGATTCTGATGACAGCTCTCCATAAGCTCTCACTCGACCAGTTGTGTTCGAGTAGAGAGCCTTTATAAGGTTAATGTACTTCTTTGGTACTACTTTCAGTGACAAACACTGCCATAGAACCTTACGATCAACAGAGTCGAATGCTGCCTCAAGGTCGAGAAATACTATGATGGTGGGGCGTCGGAATATGTGTCTGTGTTCTAGAACCTGACGTAGTGTGAATATCTGATCTATACAACCACGTCCAGGTCGAAAACCAACCTAGTTTTCTCTAGTCTGCTCTTCACGAGCTTTAGTTAGGCGTCGAAGTATTATTGAAACGAATATTCTAGACACTGTATTTGGCAAACTGATTCCTCTGTGATTGTCACAAGAGGACTTTTGTCCTTTCTTATAGACTGGCACAATCAGTGACTGAGACCAGTCAGATGGGATTACGTCCAGTTCACAAATTCTACCTAAGACCTCAGTTAATCTCACTGCTAATACGGAACCACCATCCTTAAAAATCTCAGGAGTAAACCTATCAGGGCCTGCTGCTCTCCCTCACTCCAGATTTTCTATGGCTTTTTCAAATCCGTAAAGAGACGGAGGACCTACATCAACTTGCCATTCAGGTTAACTGGAGATCGTGGGAAACCGAAGTGTGGCTGAAGGCCAGTTGAACTGATCCCTAAACTGCTCTGCCCATCGATCCAATCTCCGGGATTGAGAATGTATAATATGTCCATCTTTCTCTGAGATTGTTCCTAATACCGGTTTCCTTAACAAGTCTGAACAATTGTCTGCTATTACCTATTGCCGCTGCCTTTTCCATCTCTCTTTCTTTCGCTACCCACCACTGCTCACGATCATTGCGTAGACTTCTTGTCAGCTTACGCTTAAACTGACATCCGAGCATTATCCCTGTCCTCACACAAATGGAATGGTAAAGTGTGGCACATATATTTAGTGCTTCCTTGTACTAATATTTATGTGTTTAAATAACAAATATAGAATAATGAATTTCTAAACTTGATTTTCAACTGCTTTAATATTCATATTATAAATCTTTACGGTTTTAGACAATTTTTCGCGAGTTTTTTCATAACAATGTTTTCGTGGGATTGTACAAACGTTCATCCAAAGACTTTTTTTCAATTTCCCTCTAAATTGAAATGTTACGCTGTTATTATTGAGAGTAGTTTTTGTACTTACACCCTAAATCTAATCAACGTGTATTTAAAACAACATTAAAATTAGCTCTATACCTCAACATTATCGTAATAATAGGAGTAGAAAAGTTGCAATTATAAAATGTAAACTGGACAAATTGTTTTTAGGTAGTTCATCAGAAATTTTAAATGATGTGATTACTGATCGATCTCAGTCGGAGACATTCATTAGTCTTATTTATATACGTTCATTGCATTTATTTATTTATTCAAACACATAGACATTGGTACAAGGGGGAACCAAATATATATGTGCCACACAACCCATTCAGTTCGTCAGGGCTGTGATATTGCTCAGGTGCCCAGGCGGAAGTAGGTGATTTTCTTAGAGGTTCACACCCGGAGCCTTCAACCTAAAGGTCTGATCCAAAAAAAGCAGTGGAGCAATGTCAAAAGATACAGTTCCATGGTAGCCGGTGACCAATAATTGGTTCATACGCCATTTATTCCCTCAGGATTCTGGAGCCCATGTGCACCATTGATTTGGGATCAGGGTTTTCCAACTTAATTTAGCTAGTGTTATAATCTTATCGATTACTTGTTCGATTCAATTACAATTTTTACTGTACCATTATGATGTGCAGGATAACATTTGATTGATACATGTATCATAATTAATTTTAAACCGAACAGAAAGAAAAATTAAATACTGTATCATTTAATTGATTGTATTTCGACAATATGTAGGGGTATTATTGTTTCATTTGCTATTATCCACCACTAAATAATGAATGTATAATAACTAGGCTCAAGCGACAAAATAGGGAATTTTATTTACTAGAATAATTAAAACATGTTAACTGGACTCTAGGATTCAGATGAATGGGAAAAAAATCAAAGTTAAGAAAAAATACTCACTTTTACAGTATGATTATGATATATTCAAGCTAAAAAAGTGCTTATGTCACGTATACAATATGAGTCAGTCAGTCAGTCAGCTACAACGTAGGACCAGGCACATATGTGCATCGGTCCAGGTTGCCATACCTCATTAGCACAGCAAGATGAACACCGGATTCATAGGAGTGGTTAGGTCAAAGGTTGTAATAAGGATATAGTATAGGAAGAAAGAATTAGTTCGTAGAAAGAAAGATATGAAGTGATTTTAATCTCTTAGTTTAAGGGAAGACAGGGAGTGTATACACCGGCGCCATTGTGATCGATTCTGAGCCATGTCGCCAAGAGTCTCCAACCATTGGTTACGATGGTCACGCGGACCCCAACCAAGTAGTCTGCATCTACCAACATGGCTCAGACTAGAAGTTAGTGACTTCAGGCACTGATGCCACGTTTTGGTTTGGCCGCCCCTAACTTTCTTCCAACCATCCCCTACACCGGTTAGCATTGCACGTCGTGGTAATCGGTGTTCAGGCATACGTAATACGTGGCCCAACCATCTCAGTCGATGAAGATTCATAATCTCATCAACTGATTTACCATCATTACCTAATACCCTGCGTCTAACCTCACTATTACTTACCCGGTGATCCCAGCAGATGCCAGCAATATTTCTAAGGCATCTGTGGTCAAATACTAGTAGCTTACGGGTGTCTTCTACTCTTAAAGGCCATGTTTCACTGCCGTAAAGTAAGACAGAACGGACTGCCGCGCAGTATACTCGTCCTTTTATTGATAGACGGATATCTCGCCTCCGACAAAGGTGACGTAAGTTGGCAAAAGCCAAACGAGCTTTTCGAATCCGTGCTGAGATTTCGTCCGATACCAGCCCATTAGGACTGATCAGACTTACAAGATAAGTGAAGTTGTCAACGCGTTCGACTACTCCACTCCCTATCCTTAGTTCAGGTGTTGACGCAGACCAGTCCTGAAGCAACAACTTGCATTTAGAGGGAGAGAAGCGCATCCCAAACATTCTGGCATTGTTGCTTAGTGCTACCAGAAGACTCTGCATTTTGTCAGCGTCTTCACCAAACAGGACTATGTCATCTGCGTATTCTAAGTCGATAAGTGGACCTCCTGGAAGGAGATCAATACCCGAGAATTCAGTCGACGAGAGTGTTATTTCCATCAGTAGGTCTATGATGAAGTTAAACAAAAATGGAGAAAGCGGACAGCCTTGACGGACACCACTTGAAGTTGCAAAAGTAGATGACAGTTCGCCATAAGCCCTGACTCGACTAGTAGTGTTCGAGTAAAGAGCCTTCACAAGGTTTATGTACTTCTGAGGTACGCCTTTCACGCTCTCAGGTCACTAAGACCACCTTTAATCCAATTTCCTTTTCAGGTACCTCCAGAATACAATATGAGGCCTATAATTTTTTCGAGAACGTTATACATGATAAACCCTTGGAGAAAGTACAGTGTTACGTCAAATATATATGGATGTAGAATGTGCTTCCTGTAAAGCTTCAGTAACAAAGTTATGATACAAATCTGTAGCATGTCTGTCTGTATTAATAACCATAAATTATATTATACACCTAAAGTAATAATTTATCTCAGTAACTTGTAATAACTATTTTGAAAGTCGGTGGATGTAGTCAAACGATAGTTCGGATAAATAAATAAAAACTAAGTGTACTTTAAAAATGCCAGTTAGTATAGATCAAATATGAAAAGTTCATCAATGAAAACTATAAACTATATGGTTATTAATGAATATTAACACAATAAGTGAATAGCTATTACTGAATCAAAATTATTGAATGAATCCAATAGGCGATAAGCAATAGTAATTACTATTGTCTGTTGTCAGTTTCCCTGTTACTTTTCAGATCTATATAGAAGTCGTATAATTTATTTGTGATAAGGAATCAAATTAAAGTGTATGCAAATCACTAAAAAATTTTATCATTGTGAGAATTTGTGGAGATTGTAGTGTTTTAACAGTTGAATTCACGAGTCGATCTCAGCCAGACCGCCATTAAAAACCTGGAAGCAACGGAAGGTCGTCTCATCCTAGTGTGGGACTCCTCAGGAGTGAGCACCCACGATCCCGTACTCGAGGCTTCACCCCAGGACATTCCATCTCGCACGCGAACGCTCAACCTCTAGATTCAGCATCCAACAGTCTTAATGTCTAACTTTGATCGATTCATGATCTTGTGCAACTCTTCATCCATTGCCTGAGATGGATAGCTGTCTCACACCGGAAACGGACTGGACTTCACTGGTCACAGTTTCTCACTAAAACTCTAGGAAATCCATCTTGAAGCTAGTCACTAGTGAGTACATGATTATCATCAGTATGGGGATCTGTGGAGATTGTAGTATTTTAAACAGTCCAGTACCTCCAGGTTTTCAATGATGATCTAGATTAGATCGATTCGTGAATACAACATTTAAAATTTAATAATCATAAAAGATAACACAGATAAATGAACAGAAAACTAAACCATAATTATGAGTGATAGTTATTATTTAATAATAAATTAGTTCACTTTTGTTTAATTTTATACAAGATAATATCTACATTAAAGTGAGTAAAATCAGTTTTAATTTAGAAATTTTAAAAAAACAGTGGCATGAGAAATCATGGATTGAACATAAACAACCAAAACAACTCACCGATGTATAAAGTTGTGTTGTTCCAAATAAGCCATACCTCTAGCAACTTGAGTTGCCATATGTAATAAAACTGAAGGTGTTAATTCTGTTCTAGGATGTGTACGCAAATAATCTAACAAGTTCCCATTACACATAAATTCTGTGACAATATAATAAGGTGGTTCCCGAGTACATGCACCTTTAGAGAAAAAATTTAAAAGAAAATTTGCAAGTGGCTCGTAGTTGTTATGATAAATTAAAAGAATGGATTATGAACATCTAATAAATGATGTATCATCTGACAGTAATTAATGACAACACATTCATAGAGAATATGTGAAGCTTACATTTACTGCAAAAACAATTTGCAAATGGTGCCAAGTCAACATAAACTGAGTTTGGGCACCCGGGCAGTATTCCAGGCCTCACACAAATCCAAATCATTCGATTTATGTGGCTCATATATATTTGGTGCCTCCTTGTACCAATGTTTATGTGTTTAAATAAATAATATTAAATAAAGCATACTTAGAGCTAGCAGTATATATTTGAAAAAAGTGACTTCATCCAGATCAAAAGTTTTGATAGTGAAATAGTTCTTCCTAGTTTTCAATGTTTGCCACTAACTAAAGTCAGTCTATAATGTAAACTATGAAGTGCAAGTTATATGTTTTCGATTATTTGGAATGAATCGAGGAAAAAGGTGTTAGTAAAACTCGCAGAAAAATTCTGCTTACTTACCTAACAAAGTCACAAGATTTGGATGTCTTAAGCTTTTCATCAAACGAGCCTCTTCTAAAAATTCATCACGAACTGTGACATTTTCCTGGAAAAATTAATTTTTAAGAAACACATAGCATATACTTATTCAAGATCGAATCATCAAAACAAACTACATTTCAACAATCGTCAACTCATAAATAAAATGGGTGAAATGAAAAACTATTAGCACACAAAAAATATTCGTCATATTACCTAAAAAATTGGAATGATTCCAACTTTAGACAATTGAGTCCAAACTAATAATATACTACAATATCTCCATCATTTCTCAATAACATTTCAACCATACTTGACGCATGCTTTTATTGTCTTCCCAAAAAAAATCTTGCTGTACAACTACTTGTAAGTAATATAGCTTGTAAATAGGATTGAAAAAGGACAATATATAAAAGATAAAGAAACTAATGGAGACTTAAAGGATTTTGGCCAGCAAAAGCAAAAACTCGAACAGTAAAGCTAAAAGCAGAATTACTTAAGTATCCTTAGTAAAAGAACAGTAAGATAATAGAATAATAAGTAGTGTGTATCATAAAACTACTACATTTAGATAAGAGATTCCATCCATCCTTAGTAAAAGAACAGTAAGATAATAGAAGAATAAGTAGTGTGTATCATAAAACTACTACATTTAAATAAGAGATCCCATTTATCATAGTGAGGCTGTGATTAGTGAAATCTCTGGAATACAAAAGATTATTTGAACTTTTCGTAAGTACCACCAACTAACTACAGGATAAAAGAAATGTCGAAATGCTTATTAAAGGTTTCATCGACTGAAATGGGTAGGATATATTTATAAACCAATACACTAACTCCACTAAGTAACACAGCATGTGATATTAGGTTATTTATATAGAACAGTCGGTCACAGTAGACAAATCTAAAATAGGTAGTTGTGTGCAACGTGTGTTTACTGATTTTACGCACGCAGAGGGTTATTGAGGATTTCACTTATAAACATCAATAGAATGGATTATTAATAACTCAGTAAAACATTAATAAGAAATCAGCGTAGTTGGTTCATAAGAACATCAGTCAACCATGTCTTTGTACTTCGATCCTATGAACAGTAACATAAATTATCACGAATCAAACTTATTTTGTGTACATACCATTTAAAGTGGATCGGTCAGGTTGAACTCAGGACCAAATGAAAGATATAAATAATCATGCACAATCATTTCGCCTTATTGACTGTTTGGAATTACCATAATGACAACGTACTAGATGATACTAAAGTCCCTACTAACCAGTAGCTCAGAGCAGAATTCTTAAAGTATTCACCGGCTTCTATAAACCTAATGCTATGAATTAGTTTAAAACACAATTAGAAAATTTAATAGGGATAAACTCATATCTAAACGGCATTATTCACTCAACTTGTCGAGTAGAATATGTAACAGTTAAAGGATTATCAAAATAAAAACTAAATTAGAGAATATTTAGTTAAAATGTTATTGCAGTGGGTAAACTCGTACCTTAAGTGTTTTAACAGCAACTAATACATTATAAGGTTTCCATACAGCCTCATATACTACACCATACTGTCCTGATCCTGAAATTAAAAAGTCCGTAAAATAATAAAGATAAGTAGTCTAAAATGAAAACATATGTGTACAACATCATAAGGAGTTCTAATTAAGCAGGATATTCTCGATCGGTTGGTTTTAAGCTTTTGTCATAAAATGGTGGTAGAGATGGCAAGTATAAACAAATTAAAATCATTAGGAAAATAGGAAGCGAGTTTATACTGGTACATGGCACTTAGAGAATATAATATTTCACTTATACGATGTTACTGTAAAGGAAACTAGATTCCTAAAAAAACATAACTTCTGAAATCAACAATTTCAAACTCATATAAGAACAATTGCGATCAACAAGCAAATCATTCAAATATTACCGAAGTTCAGTAAAAAGTTGCGGCTTACTGGTTTGGATATTCAAAATTCAACCAGCTATAATTATGGTAGCTGAGTGGAATCGTTAACAACCCTCACACAAGTATGATTAACAGACAAATACATAAACCAGTAAATGATTACTGAGTAACATAACTATTCACTGATCTGACTTAAAGATAGCACGGCTAAAATTCGCTTATAATGAAAGTGATTTTTATCATGGTCATTAAAAAAACCCTTAGAGTAAATAACACCTAAGAACACTGTTGATTTGGACTATAATCTTCGTTGTGAGCATAGTGCAGTGAATGAGACTAAGGTGAGGAGAACCAATTTATTGATCAAAGCAAAATTACAGTGTTTTCGTAAAATCTGAAAACCATACATTAAATATATTATTTGTCTTTTACATGCGTCATGATTCTCTCAGTCCTGTTGTTGTTACAATTGTTTTCTATTTCTGTCCCTGTTCTCTTCAATTCAATCACCTCATTCTTCTGCTGGCAAGCATTCCACTTCCGATAGCTGCTAAATACTACTTATATCTGTCAACAAAATCAGCATACGCCACAATAGAACTCAGAAAAAAAAGCATAATGTCATCTCATTACTACAACTTAATGTACTTATTTCTGTTTTCGGATGAAAACTCCGGTGATTTAATGTCTTCTATCAAGTTAATTTCTTTCATTTCATATATTCACTTTATTTTTGATTACATATTTTATAACGTGTTGCTTGGAACTCCAGTTAAATCAATCGAGGAACTGGTTGCATTGTCAAAGAGAAATCGACATACATGGATACGTCTCCATTATTCTCTGAATATTTATTTAACAATTCAACAGAGTATATGAATGAAGTGAAACACTACAAAAAATGAGTAGAACACAATCCGACAAACATTACGACTTAACAACATATTTCGACATTTAGTAGAGTCGTTGATGCTCTTTGCTAAGGTTCATACTCAGAGAAAATAACTGCCTGACGCTGTCTGATTTCCACTGGCTGTCTAACTAAAGTCAGTCTGTAATGTGAGGCCTACAACTGAACAATCTCCATATAGCTTTATAATAAAAAAATTTTAAATGTATAAACGAAAGTAGATGCCTTAAATTCGTAATTAATAATGTACGATACGACATAGATTTATGTATTCAATTATGCGGACACTAGTGATACTATAAATCAACATGCATCAAAATAAATGAAATAGACAGGCGTGAAGTGTCGAACAGTCAGATGACTAAATAAAGTAACACTATTAGTATACATAAACTGAAGCCGAATACGCGTAGGTGACAACAGAATAATTAACGTTGAAATTTCACCACACAGTACCATTAACATATGACCAACACTTTATATAAAATCACTTTTATTATTATCATTACATTTTACAAGAAATTATACATCAACGTAACCAAATCATACACGTACACAGTGATTCAGTGATAAAATAATTATTGCAGATGAAAGATCAGAAACAGGACACCATAGTAAAAAAAATGGAAGAGTGACCTTAAAAAATCAATGGCGGAAGCTGCTATAAAACGCATGAATCGAATAAATTAATTAATAAGAAAATCTATCGAGAAAAAAAAACAAGAAAAGGTCAATGTTAAGAAAGGGAATCGTAAAATACTTATCTAATAAAATGTGTAATCACTTTAATAAATACACAAGATGCCTCGACTATTGATTAGATATTCTGTTGAATAATAGCAACTCTGAAGTTTGATCAATTTCGATGGATTGATGGTGTAGTTATTAAGATTATAAATAGTCTAAAATCCAAGAATATTTGTTACTCTTGAATTCTGATAAAAACATCTAAGTGCAGGAAAATCATATCTGAATGAAAAATACTCTGGTACATTTACCAATAATATGGACAAATTAATAAAGTTCAGTAACTTAAAGATGATAAAATGTAGATATAAATTGAGAAATCCTTAGGATACATGAACATAAATATAGTTAAGTTTAGATGATTTGATAAACAGGAAGAGATGCACACTGGTTAAGTGAAAACATTTAGAAAAGCTCAATCGTATTGTTTCGCTTCAAGTTCAGACTATAACTGTCTTAGTGCTCATTATTTACACGGATATTTATGCATTATTTTAGCATGTGAGTAGTGACTCAATAACCAAACTCTCTTACAGACTACTCTATTTAATAGCTAAAATATCAAAATGATATAATTTCAAGAGAACCATCTGTAATCAGTAAATCAGAAAAACAAATAGTTGGAAATGAATTAATCAAATTACTAGTCATATAGAATAATTAAGCATGAATGTTAAATGCTAGTCCTACCGAAATTGCACACTTTAAATATAATGTTGCTGTCCATCAATTGCAAGAAAAGGTTAATTTATATTCGTATTTTAATCTCAATATTAAAATAAACTTTTTAAGTGCCTATACTGAATGAGTCCATGTTTCTGAATATAGTTCAAATAAACGTTATGTTGAATATTCTTAATAGTTACTGATTATACGCCAATCCATATTAAGGTGTTGCGAACAAATGTTACGCTCCAAATGATAGAAATTCATCAGTCACGAAGAAATAACTCTTAGCACAACACTACAGGATAAGATTTTTGGGTTTGACAGAAGTATAGAGTCTATATGAACAGCATATAATATGAATCAAATATTATCAGTAAAGTCGAAGTGGCTGAAATAATGTAAATTATTTTGATTAGAAGTACTTTTGTCATTAATTAGAAACCATCGATAAGATTTTACTTACATGAACATTAACTGGACCATACTTATAGTTGCAAAACAACCAACTATTAAATTAATTAATAATGACTTTATTAGTTAACATTGATTGATGTATTTTCAGATTTATTTCATGAACATGCAACAACTTTCCCTTGTTAACTTACACGAAGAAAAAACAGAGCTTTATTGGCATGTAGGTAAAGGATAGTGTAAAAATATGATAAGAAATGAAAAGGTGTATGAAAGAAAAAACAATAAATAGATGCACCTTAACCAATACAATCACTTTTCGGTTACCATTTAATGTGTTCAAAATAGAAAGTTTAGTTAAATTCGCTTCAGAACTCTACAGTAGTGAGTGAGTGAATAACCTTAACTTTTGTCGAAAACAGTATTGATAAACGTCAAACTTCAATGATCAAATAAAGGACGATTCAAAATTCACTAGATAAGTGGTCGCTCATCGAATTCTGTTTATTATTTTATTTGAACACATAAATATTGATACAAGAGAGCACCAAATATACATGCACCACACAAAACAATGACAATCGGAAGAGCAAAAAGAAGGTAAGATGAGTATAAGAAAAAAAAGGAAAGAGTAGTGTAAGGTAGTTGAATAATAATAATAATAATAATAATAATAATAATAATAATAATAATAATAATAATGAGGGAAACAGAAATGTACAAACAGAAAAATTCTTTCACTTAAGGAAGATACAACCACTTTTTATGAAAAAAGTAAACGAAGGTTACAGCAGGATCGCCACTGGCTTCTATTCTGAGCCATTCCTGATAACGTCTCTACCCACTGTGTAGCACCATCTCTCGGACCCCAGCCACGGAGTCGTGAAGGACCAACAGAAGCCAGTCCCGTGCAGCTTTCTTTCATACCACGACACCATTTCATACACTGACTACCTCTCCGCTTTTTCCAACCAGTCCCAGAGTCGCCAAATAATGCACGACGTGGAATTGTCTGGGACGACATTCGTAGAACATATCCAAGCCACCGAAGTCGATGTTTCAAGATGGTGACACCAATCGGATTATCATCTCTGTGCCCGAACACACGATGCCGAACCCCTGCATCACTAACATGGTGTTGCCACTGAATGTTAGCAATCCTTCGGAGACAACGATGATCGAACACAGAGTCATCTAACATCCTCAACTCGGAGAGGCCAGGTTTCACAAGCATACAGCAGAACTGCTCTCACCGACGCGTTGTAGATCCAACCTTTTACAGACAGACTGACATCACGAAGGCGCCAAACATGGCCCAGATTGGCATAAGCCGCTCTGGCTTTCACTATACGTGCATTGATCTCATCGCTCAGGCCACAACCAGCACTTATGCAGCTACCCAGATACACGAACTTCTCGACTACTTTTATCTGCTAACCATCCAGGGTGAGTACAGGATTAGAATCCTGCCAGTCTTGTAGAAGTACTTTGCACTTCGGAGATGCAAAGCACATACCATACCTACGGACACTAATTAGCAAGTGATTAAGTGCGGATTGCATGGCTTGGGCATTATCCCACAGTAAGAAAATATCATCCGCATACTCAAGGTCGAGAAGTCTTTCTCCAGGCAACAGATCCACACCGCCATTACTTACATCCATCAGCTGTTTCCAGAATGTCATCGATGGCAAAGTTGAAGAGGAATGCTGTGATTGGACAATCCAGTCTTACCACACTGCTTGAATGGAACAATGGAGAAATCTACATTAAATTTGAAAGCAAACACTTAATTTAGTTCAAAAGTGAGAATAATAATGATAGGAGTGTAGTGATATTAAAATTATGAAGTGAAACAGATTTCTATAGAGTAAAGAAATCCCTGACCAGAATCGTTTTTCTGATAAATTTATGGGTAATGTGATGGTATAAAGGTTTTCTGCGAATTTGTTTAGAAGAGATCTCGACAGTTAAAATCAATGAATAGAATGCTAATCGACGGATAATAATGTGACTGAGCGACAACTATTCACGAAACCGTATAATTGACTTGAGCCTCCGAACGATTAGAAAACAAAGACAAGACCACTAGCCAGATGAATAACTTTTCATGTATTAAGATCCATATATATATATATATATATATATATATATATATATATATATATATATATACAGAGTGCCGATGGACTGGAAAGAAGGACACTTCGTCAAGATTCCAAAGAAAGGAGATCTGAGCAAATGTGAAAACTACAGAGGCATTACACTACTGTCAATACCAGGGAAAGTCTTCAACAGATTGTTGCTGAACCGGATGAAGGATGCAGTAGACGTCCAACTTCGAGATCAACAAGCTGGATTCCGTAAGGATCGGTCGTGCACAGACCAAATTGCAACACTACGGATCATCGTCGAACAATCAGTTGAGTGGAACTCATCACTATACATCAACTTCATTGATTATGAAAAGGCATTCGACAGTGTAGATAGGAAGACATTATGGAAACTTCTTCGACACTACGGAGTTCCTGAGAAGATTGTCAACATTATCCGGAACTCATACGACGGACTACAGTGCAAAGTAGTGCATGGAGGACAGCTGACAGATGGATTCCAAGTAAGGACCGGAGTCAGACAAGGCTGTTTACTCTCTCCTTTCCTCTTTCTTCTGGTGGTCGACTGGATTATGAAGACCTCAACATCTGAAGGAAAACACGGAATACAATGGACAGCTCAGAATCAATTAGACGATTTGGACTTTGCAGATGACCTAGCCTTCCTATCGCATACACACGAACAGATGCAGGTGAAGACAGCCAGTGTAGCAGCAGTCTCTGCATCAGTAGGCCTCAGCATACACAAAGGGAAAACTAAGGTCCTCAAATTCAAAGCGGAGAACAGCAATCCAATCACACTTGATGGCGAAACTCTGGAAGATGTAGAGTCCTTCACATACCTGGGAAGCATCATCGATGAACAAGGAGGATCCGATGCAGACGTAAAGGCGAGGATCGGCAAAGCAAGGGTCGCATTCCTTCAATTGAAGAACATATGGAACTCAAAACAACTGCCTACAAGCCAATATCAAAGTGAGAATCTTCAATACGAACGTCAAGGCAGTTCTACTGTATGGACCTGAAACTTGGAGAACTACAACAACCATAATCAAGAAAGTACAAGTATTTATAAATAGCTGTCTTCGTAAGATATTCAACATCCATTGGCCGGATACCATCAGTAATAGCCTTCTGTGGGAGAGAACAAACCAACTTCCAGCTGAAGAAGAAATTAGAAGACGATGGAAATGGATAGGACATACATTACGCAAATCGTCAAACTGCATCACGAGGCAAGCCCTAACTTGGAATCCTGAAGGGAAGCGGAAAAGAGGAAGGCCAAAGAACATATTGCGTCGGATAATAGAAGCAGATATGAAAAGGATGAATTACAACTGGACGGAGCTAGAAAGGATTGCCCAGGACAGGGTTGGATGGAGAATGCTGGTGAGCGGCCTATGCTCCTTCACGAGGAGTAACAGGCGTAAGTAAGTAAGTATATATATATAGAAAAAGAACACAAAATAAACACAAAATGTCATAAGCGATTGGAAGAAATTAGCTTGCATATCACTCATTCTTCAATCAATTAAGAAGTGACTGTTAGGCTTAATCTTTGAGTATCATATCACATCACGCAACAAACTAATGCGCTGTATTTTATATTCAATATTTAACACTGAACAAAGTAAAAGCGAAAATTATTATGGAATACGATGAATTTATTGTGCTCTCTACCACATAAGTTGCTTTAAACACAAGTTTTTAGTCTGTATGCTTCTAAAATGTTAGCTTTTTTCATTGTTATGTGCCTTACATCTACATCAATGAATTACTTTCCAGATCCACTAAAAGTTTCCTATTTCAAATAAGGAAAGAATAATAATTTGGTAAAGAAATACGACGTACAATAGTGAAGTAATCCAGTATTTGCAGGAATAAACTCATCATCAATGAGAATGTACAAAAGGAAAATAGCTGAGAGCGTGATTATACACACAGAGATCAGATATCAAACATAAGTTTAAATCTGTTATACACTAACGACTGAAGACATTTTCACTTCATAAAACTGCATGAAAGATAAAAAGAAACGTTAATGTATCAGGAAATAAATAAACATAGGTTATAAATAAAAATAATATATTTGTAATATCCCAATGAGTAGAAAATTGGATTTTCTGACGTTTCGTGGCTTAGTGTAAGTCACTTCTTCAGAGAATAAATAACCAAAATTAAATTAATCCAAGTTTAAATAGTACAACGGAACAATGCATTGTTCAATTGCTCAATTTATTCGAAATTATCAAATCAAACCTTGGTAATGACACCTACAAACATAGGTTAAATGATCATTCTGTTTCATGACGAGCTATCAAAGATTATTTATAACGAAACGTGGACTTACCTAATTTATGTTTCATAACTATTTCGGTCCGATCTATCTCACGTATATCGAAACTGGGATCCATGCGTAGCTCTGAACTTGTTCTGTCTCGTTTAGGTGCTGGGTATAATAATGTACAGGCCAGACCATCTGAATGCTTCTCATGATGATGTACAAGGTCAGAGACTGATGTAAACTTGTTGGATTCAATAACGTAATACTAAGAAAAAATGAAGGAATGATATAAAAAATCGGAAACCGTACTTATCTAAAAAGTTTATTTGAAATGACTAATTCACAGGCTACCTAATGAGCTGAAAATCAATGAGAAATGTGCAAAGAGTGGCAACTTAATTCATACAGTAGAGCTTGGTATTCAAGCCATTCGGCTTTCAACTACCAGGTTACGATTTCGAAGCCCGCTCTATTTACTTAGGCTCAAGCAGACCAGTACAATTACTACCCCTCATATCATGTGGCTTAACAAAGAGCACACGAAACTTGTACTTACTTTACTATGAATGCGACACGAAAATCAGAATAATTTATTTCTAGAAGAGTAACAAGGAAAGTACTGGAAATCTGTTGATAATCGGCTTTGATTGCTGGTTTAGCATATTGTCCATGAAATCACTAGAACAAAGGCCTATACGACTAACAAACATGGATCATCTGTGTAAGAAAAGCGTTGATAAAAATGTTTTAACTTTATTTGCATAAAGCAAAAAAATCCGAAAATTGGACGAGAACGTTAATTCGGTTAGCCGAACTAACTGGAGTAACTTGGTGGCAGCTAACAGTAAAGTACCAAACACATATTTAGTCCAGTTTGAGAAGTGTCAACTGGATATTCTTGTATCACAAATTTGATGACATTGTAAATGATGTATTTAACTGGAATTCTCCACTTCAAACATCCGAGAATTTCAAGCAATAAGTTTTTTTTAACTATAATGATTACTTTTTTCTCTTTTTATCAGTATCTACGTTTTAAGGATATATATATATATATATGTAAAAAAACTTACCATGTTAGAATCATCACGATGGATACGATAATGCCATATCTGTCCTTCATAACGAAGACTTATTGTGAGCTGACCTGGATGACTTTCTGATTCCCTGATGAGAAAACTTCCTGTGATTCCACTATTGAGTAAATATTCTGCATAACTTCGCTGAATAGCACCATGATACCACTTTTC